GAAAAGACAGTGAAAAACTGAAATAAATATTCCTAGGTGGAAAATGATCTGCCTGAAAAGATTACATACATCTTGATTCCAAGTACATGGCATCTTTTTAATTTTTTTTGTATTTTTTATGTTTATGCATGTTATGTCTCCATGTGTGTAAGTGCACCCATGTTGTGCAATGCCCTCAGAGATCAGAAAAGGGTGTTGAATCCCCTGGAACTGGAGTTATAAAAGGTTGTTATGTGCCATGTGGGTGCTGGGAATTGAACCCAGGTACTCTGCAAGAGCAGTCAGTACTGTTAACCTCTGAGCCATCTCTCCAGCTCTCAACATGGCATCTCTTTTAAAAAGGCAGAACTATGTCTGGAGATGGTTATAAAGATAAGTGGATTCCAGTTTTGGGGAAGGATGACAGGCAGAACAGAGAGGGATTAAGGATTTCCATGTGATATCAGTAGTGGATAAATATCATAATACATTTGCCAGAACCTGCCAACTATGAACCATAAAGGCTGTGCACTTGGGTGGTAATGCTGTAGCACTGTAGGTTCATCAGCCATCACAAAGGTGTCACTGCTGCGAGACATTGTTAGGGAGGGAGCTGCACATGTGTGGACGCAGAGACCATGCCAAAACTCTTGGTATTCCACTTCATTTTGTTACGAACCTAAAACTATTCTTTAAAAAATATGTTAAAAAAAAAACTGTATCTAAGTGCTTGAAAAAAATCCCAGTAGCAGGGTGCTGGGGGGATGACTCAGTTGGTAAAGTGCTTGCTACCGAAGTGTGAGGACTTGAGTTTGATCCCCAGCACTCTTGCAAAAAGCCAGGAATGCTGGTATGACTTTCTAATCCTAGCACTGGAGGGGCAGAGGTCCGTGGATCTCTGGGGTTTGCTGGTCAGCTGGCTGAGCCTCTGACAGGGCAGAGTGGTACATACAGGGGAGGAGATAAGCAAAGAGAGCAACTCCTGCAGAAATCCCAGAAGACTAAGGATGAACCTGGCTGTACTCATCTTTGGGTTGTTTTCATAGGGTTACATGTCCCCTGTGAGGAGGTAATAGGAAAGTGATAGTCAAACCCCACCACACACTAATTTGTGATGAGACAGAGTCTCAAGTATCCCAGTCTGACCTGAACTTACTATGTAGCTGAGGATGGTGTTGAGTATTTGATCCTCCTGCCTGCACCTCCCAAGTGTTCAGATTACAGGTAGGTGTACCAGCACACCCAGTTTAGGTGGTACAAGAACCCAGGTATTCGTGTATGCTAAGCAAGTACTCTACCAACTGAGCCACATCTCCAGCCTGTAACACACTTATATTCTAAAAAGCCAGGCATATCTGCAATACCCTCTTCTGGCCTCTACAGATACCAGGCATGTGGTATACTTACATATACACAGGCCAAAACACTCATACACATAAAATAAAAAGAAAGCAGTCTTTGAGAAAAATAAAACTAAATTAAAAGTCAAGTATAGTGAACACAGCTTTAATCCCAACAGTTGGGAGGCAGAGGCAGGTAGATTTCTGTGAGATCGAGGTCAGCTGGGGTTACAGGGAGACCACGTCTCAAAAAGACCAAATGGGAGAAGCTGCCAAGCTTTCTTTCAAAATGACTGCACAATTCTGCGCCCCTCCAGTCATGAGCATTCCTGTTGGTGGTCCATCCTTCTTGGAACATTGTTATGTTGAAGGAAAAAGGTGGCTGAGAGTGGCTCTGAGTAAGGAATTTACTATTATAAGTAGCAGAGTTTACTCCATGTCATCTAAGCGAGGTGGGCGGGATGACCTGATATTTTTTGCAGGATCTTAGTAAGTTATTCTCCTAGGTCTTATCTTAAATAAAAAGCAACTTTAGAGGCACGCTTACAATCACTTAAAGGGGCAGCAGTTTTATCTGGTATGCTTAGGTAATTGTCACTGAAAGCATCTGCTTAGCAGCTAACACCAGGACAGACAGACAGACAGACAGCCTGCCCACTTATTGGACATAGCTTTAGCAAGTCTCACTTAGATCTTCAAGTGCTATGACTTGCCAGTCACACTGGGAGAGGAATGACCCATTCATATGTCAGGTTATCATTTCATTACTGAGCATGGGATAATGGTTAGTTATGATCAGAGTAATGTCTGGTGAGTGGCTTCCTGGCTCTGCCCTTAGCCTGGGTTTAATCTTGTAAGCAAGATCCAATTCAAGCTTAGCCCTTCCTTCCTTCCTGCTAACTCCCCTCCCCTCCCCTCTCCTCCTCTCCTCCCTCCCTCCTTCTTTCCTTCCTTCTTTCCTTCCTTCTTTCCTTCCTTCCTTCCTTCCTTCCTTTCATTTCTTCTTCATTGCTCTCTCTCCTTCCTTCTTTTTATATGTATGCAGGTATGTGTGTTTGTGTATGTATGTGAGTGCACATGTATTTGGAGAGCATGGAGGTCAGAGAAAAACTCAGTATCATTCCTCAGGAGTTATGCTGGATAGCTTTAGTTGTCAACCTGACTGACATACCTGGTTAGAGGGACCCTCAAGTGAGGAATTTTCTCCATTGGACTGGCCTGTGGCCATGTCTGTGGGGCATTTTCTTGATTGTTGAGTGATGTGGGAGGGCCCAGCCCACTGTGGGCAGTGTCACCCCTGGACAGGCGCTCCTGTGTTGTATGAGAAAGCAGGTTGAGCAGGGGCCAGAGGAGCAAGTCAGTAAGCAGTGTTCCTCTGTGGCCTGTGCTCCAGGTTCCTGTCCTGAGTTCCTGCCTTGGCTTCCCTTGATGACGGACTGCGCTGTAAGTCAGATAAAACCTTTCCTCCCCAAGTTGGTTTTGGTCAGTGTTTTTCTCACAGCAATAGAAAGTAACTAGAACATCTGTCAACTTTTTTTTAAAGACAGGCTCTCTAACTGGCCTGGAGCTTGCTGATTAGGCTAGGCTGGCTGGCCAGCAAACCCCAGGGACCTACCTGACTGTCTCCCCAGGGTTGGAATTACAAGTCATGTCACTACACCTGACTTTTTTTTATGAGGGTGCTGGGGATCAAACTCAGTCCTTCACGTCTGTGTGACAGATACTTCATCAGCTGAGCCATCCTTTTAGCTCCTTTCTTTCTATTTCTAAACACAGGGTTTTGCTATGTCATTCTGCACTGGAAGTTGCAATCTTCCTCCCTCATCTCCCCTACTGATAGGATTAAGCATCCACCATCAAACCTGGGAAGTTTCATCTACTAGTGGGAGGGTGACCCTCTCCCCAGCAGTAGAGAGAGGGAAACAAACACGGTAGATTTCCAAGGGAGCCATTTACCGTAAGAACCTAGAAAGGCTTCTTCTGGCTTGCTTCTCAGTTTGTGGTCATGCATCAGGTCGGTCCTAAAATAATGAAATCCACCCCCGGAGGACAGCTCTTTTATGAAAAGAAAAATACTGCCAAAAATAAAATCTATTGTTTTGTCAAACCTCCTAAAGGAACAAAATATAATGCGTTGACTTACCTATGTGCTTATTTTTCAAATGTAAATGAATCATCTTAAAAAGTTACCTTTTGTAGAAAAGATATTGAAAGTTTACTTTTTATTTATTTATTTTTATGATAAGGTATTTCTGACATGCTGAGAAAAGGCCTGTCATATTTAAAGACATTTCGTTTTGTATTAAAAAGAGACTAAAAATAGGTGTATTTGGATCGTTTCAGAATATCACGATTAAGAACTTGATTTGGATTTTTAAAAAAATTATTATTTTTATTTTATGTGTATGCATGTATTGCCTGCATGTAGGTAAGTGCACCCGTGTTGCGCAATGTCTGCGGAGGACAGAAGAGACTGTTGGATGCCCTGGAACTGGAGTTATGGACAGTTGTTAGTTGCCATATGGGTGCTGGAATTTGAACCCAGGTCTTCTGCAAGAACAGTCAGGGTTCTTAACCGCTGCCCTATCTTTCCAGCCCCCTGATTTGGATTTTAAAGCCAATCAGTCTTCCAGCTGACATTATTGACAACCTACTCGGCAACAACACAAACTAAAAGAAGGAAAGCTACCCAATAAAAATGGGCAGTTACTGAGTTTTCAAAACTATGTCATTTCCCAGCAATTGTTTTTGAGATAAGATTTGCTCTTGAGACAGGACTTGAAGTGTCTTCTGGGTAGTTTTAAGCAGAGGCAAGATTTTTTAAAAATGTATTTGGGTATTAAATTTAAAAGGAGAGAGAGAGAGAGAGAGAGAGAGAGAGAGAGAGAGAGAGAGAGAGAGAGAGAACTTGTAGGCATCAGTTACTCACAATTGCTCATCCACTGTAGGTTCCAGGGATTAAATTCAGGTAGTCAGGCTAACCCCACAAGCACTTTTACCTAGTGAGGCATCTCATTGCCCAGGATTAAGATTTTGCTTTATGGTTTGCTTTTTGGTAGGCTGAGCCAGAACCAGAAGATGCTTTCAAGCTCAGTTTTCAATTTCTTCTTATAGTTCTGTGGCTGAACCATAGGGGGCTGTCCTGGAAAAGTGTCAGTGCTTTCCTCTCTCCTCCACTAGGGTTCATTTTATTTATTTATTATTTAGTTATTTATTTATCTATCTATCTATTTATTTATTTATTATTATTATTATTATCATTATTAATTATTTGCGACAGGGTCTCACTAAGTAGCCCTAACTGGCCTGGAACTTGTGATATAGACCAGGCTGGCCTTGAGCTCACAGATATCTGCCTGTCTCTGTCACATGAGTGGTTGGACTAAAGGTGTGCACCACCATGCCTGGCTCACTAGGGTTCTTAGTCTGTTCATAAAGTGATTTCTTTCAAGCTTAGAACCAGAGATATAAACCTGGCTGATCTTGAACTTGCGGAGATCCACCTGCCTCTGCCTCTCCAGGGCTGGGATCAAAGGTGTGCAACCACCACTCCCTGCTCATGATACATCTTGATCTTGCTTTATTTTTACCTTTTTGCATGATGTCTGCCAATTCCACAAACACTACATTTGACACCCAGAATACAAGCTTTCCACTGGCACTCATTGAACCCCAGCTAACGTGAGGCTGAGATCTGGTAGTTGCTTCTCCTGTCACCAGAGCCCTGATGTTGAATTCTTGTGTTGGAATCCAAAGCCCACGACGCGTTTTCTTCCATACCGTATACCCCTCTTACTGAGTGTAAAACTGTAAAAGAAGACAAACAGGCCTGATCTCTTCTTGGCTAGTGTGTGGTCACTGCTGCTGTTGGATCAAGGACGGGGAAATCATAACAGATGGCCAGAAGGAGTCTCTGAGGTGCTGGAAATTGATTCAGATAAAATTTCAGAATTTTTATAAAAATATTCATTTACTTTCTTTACCTCTTCTAGAGATTTTGGGGTTCTTCAACATAGATATTTAAGGTTTTGAAAATGTTCCCTGGGCCAGCAAGATGGCTCAATGGGTAAAGTCACTTGCCATCAAGGCTGACAACCTGAGTTCGATCCCTGGGGCTACATGGTAGGAGAGAAAACTGACTCCTACAAATTGTCCTCTGACCACATGTGTGTGTGTGTGTGTGTGCGCGCATGTGCGCGCGCGCACACACACACACACACAATAAGGAACACACACAATAAATAGTTAAACAAAATGTAACAAAAATGTTCCCTTTCTGTTGTCTTTACTTTCGTATTTACTTATGTTACTGTCATTGAAGCATCTTATTCCTGATAATTTTCCTGCCAATTGGTGGAATTTCAGAAATATCACAACATAAATGGGCTTTGGGGGTAGATCTGGAAAGCCCTATAACCTGGAAACTGTTTCTGTGGGAAAAGAAGCTCTAGTTCTAAATACATTGGAACACAATCCTTTTCTATATCAGACATGGCCAGTTTGGGCCAACTTAAGAACATGAATTAGAAGGAGAACAGGCCACTTTCCAATCCTAGTCCCATTTCCAGTCAGCTGTGCTGCCTTCAGCAAGTCTCTTGCCTGCTCTGAATTTATTTCTTTTCTAGCTTGGGGAGAATAGTCCCTATGACTGTGAAACTCTTTCTGTAAAGTATGAATAACACAATGCACAGAAGCTTCTTAAGAAATGCTCCACAAATGTGAGCTACTTTGATCACCTTTTTAAGACTACCCTTTTGTGATGTTAATAACAGTGGTCAACTGGACAGGATCTAGACTTACCTAAAATAAACATGTGGCATGTCTGTGAGGAAGTTTTGGAGACAGGGTCAAAATAAACAACAATGAACCAGTTTTGGCGATGGTGGTGCTGATGGTGATAATTTTGTCGAATTACTGTTTAGTATTTCTGAATCTTCAACATCACAACTGTTCATATACTGTCCCCGAGGTGCTGTTTCTTCTATAGGACTTGAAACAGACCTGAACTCTTCAAGGATATTCCCTTCTCCATTTTCTAAGAGTCATTTAAAACTGTTGCCTTGATTAAATTACAGTATTGGTTCCCCATGTGCCTTCTGTTTTATAAGCTGTGAAATTGTTGAGAGAGAGAGGATGGCAAACTTATTGTCTTTATTTTTTCATTCAAAGTAATAAGTCTTATGATTGTTTTAGAGAATTAATAATGTTTGATGGAGTCTCATAGTCCATGACAAGATTTGACACAGAGCTGTCAAAAATCTATGGGCTTGTCAAAATTCTAATCTGTATTTTATCAAGTCATACCATTGTGTGCTAGAAATCTGAAAATGTGTCTGTGTCAGTCACTTTTCTGTTGCTGTGATAGAAACACTGACCCAAGCAATTTGTAGAAGGAAGAGTTTATTTGAGCTTACGGTTCCAGGGGAATTACAGCCCGTCATGGCAGGGAGGCATGGTGGCTGGAGGTGGCTGGAACAGGAGCAACAGAAGTTAAGCTCTCACATCATCACGCAGACACAGGAAGCAAGAGCAACTGGAGATCCAGCAAGGCTTAAGAACTCTCTAAGTCCACCCCCAGTGACGTGCTTCCTCCAGGATAGACACACCTTCTAAAACCTCCCAAAACAGTGCCATCATCTGGGGACAAAATGTCCAAATACTTGGAGCCTATGGGGGACATTTTCATTCAAACCACCACAGTGTCAGATAAGAGTTGTTCTGGTGGGAGTGGTTCTCCTTCCTCCTGGTTCCTGTATCACCATTAACCTATGTAGCTATGATGTTATATCCTAGAATTCCAGCTGAGTCATTTTATTTATTTGTTTGTTTATTTATTTATTTATTTATTTGCCTTTTTGAGACAGCTTCTCCCTTGTAGAACCAGCTGGCCTGGAACTCACTATGTAGACCAGGTTGGCCTAGATCTCACAGAGATTTGCCTGCCTCTGCCACCTGAGGGTTGGGATTAAAGGAGTATGCTATCTCAAGCCTGGCCCTCTTTCTCTCCCATTTTTTAAAAAGATTTAATTAATCAACTAATTAATGTGTGTGTGTGTGTGTGTGTGTGTGTGTGTGTGTGTACATACATATCTGATGTGTGTGTGGCTCCCTGTGGAGGCCAGAAGAGGGCATATGATCCCTTGGAGCTGGAATTATAAGTGGTTGTGAACCATCTGACACGGGTGATGGGAACTAAACTCAGGTCTTCTACAAGAGCAACAAGCACTCTTAACCGCTGAGCCATCTCTTCAGCTTCCTAGTTAAGATTTCATTTGAAAAGCTGTCCCATGGCTGAAGTGTTTGAATACTGTTCAGGTGTGTCTTCCTGTAGATTTGGATAGAAAATATATTTCTAGGGGCTGGAGAGATGCTGCTCTTGCAGAGGACTCAGGTTCAAATCCTAGCACCTACTTTGTGGCTAACAGCCATGCTAACTTTAGTTCCAGGGGATCTGACACCCTCTTCTGACTTCTGAGGACATTGCAGGATACAGGTGCACTTACATACATGCAATCAATGCACTCATATACATAAAATAAAAATAATAAAATATTTTTAAAAGAAAATGTATTTCTAGACTAGAAAAGCATTGCAGTTAGTCATTCATAGTGAATCAGAGGGTGATGGAAGAATGAAGAAAAGCTTGCTGTGGTTTAGGTGAAAAATGTCCTCAGGTGGTGGTGCTGTTTGGGGAAGGTACGGACCCTTTAAGAGGTGGAGTCAGGCTGGTGGAAGAGGCCACCATAGCAGGTTTTGGCTTATAGCCCAGCCCAGCTTCCAGCCCAAATTCTATTTCCTGATCTTCTGAGATATGGGCTTATGCTCCCATTGCTCCAGTCATGAGCCACTGTGGACTCTACCATGCCTTCCCTGCCGTGGTGGGCTGCACTGTCTCAGTGATCCAAAACAATCCTTCCTTAAGTTGTTTCTGTGAGACATCTGTCACCGTGACGGGAAAAATAGCTAACACAACACAAAACATATTGGGAGACAGGAAGTGGATAGTGACAGAGACTGACGAGGTGCATGGGAGTAGGGAACTACATTAAAAACATCTGTGCATACATATGCGTACGTGCTCATACATGTGTGTGTAGTGTGCATGTGCACAAAGTGGAGGCCAGAAGCCAACCTTGGAGTTGTTCCTCAAGCATCTTCTACTTTGTTTTTTGAGACAGAGTCTCTCACTGGCCTGGAGCTTGTCCGGTAGGCTAGGCTGGCTGGCAAGTGAGACTCGGGCATCTGCCTGTCTCTGCTTCCCCAGTGCTGAAATTACAAGCACAGGCCGCCGCACCTGACTTTTCATGGCTTCTGGAGAGCAAACACAGTTTTCCATGCTTGCAAAGCAAGCACTTTACCAACTAAGCTATCTTCCTAGCACCCTCACCCAATGTTTTTTTTGTTTGATGTAAATTTAACATATCCATGGGATCTAAGTTTAGCCACCAGCTCCTTGAGGATATAAACTGGATTTTGAACTTGGTTTCATCATTAGCAACTGGTTTGTCAGAGTTCAGGGAAGGCTGGATCCAGAAGCTGAAAAAACAAGCAAAACCTCGTTTCAACCTGTAGGTTCTGCTTTCCCTGTGAGTTTCATGCTCAGATAGGGTTTCATGGTCCCTAGTCAGCAATCTTGGGAGTAAGGACATACGAGGTAAAACATAGTCCTTCCGGCAGGAAGGATCCTAGGTCTGGCTAGGTCTGTCATTGACCTGACTCAAGTCATGTGCTCATTTCTCAGGCAATCACTGTTGTTCTAGGGAAGGAAATGCTCTTTTTGGGTTGTTTTTGGGGGCTGTTGAGCTCTGGTGGGGTGAACTGTATCTGTTATCCTAGGGAAGGCTGTGATGCCGAAGGACAACGAGAGGGCGGCTCACTGAGGAAAAGTGATTGATGCACATAGAACTTCGGAGACACCCGGTCATGCCTCCTGCTGTTCACACCCTCTGTTCTCAAAGGAAATTTTGTATCTGAGTTCAAACAGCAGCTTTGGAACAAGACATTCTGTGTTTCAGTTCTGATTACTGCTACTTATTAGCTTGGTGTGTCCCTGAAGAGTAATTTCACCTTTTAGCTTTAATTGTCTGATTTCTGAAGTGACGATAATGGCAAAGCATTTGCTTCATGGGCTGCTGAGAATACAAATGAGATAAGGCTCGAACGACACTCGGATGCCTGAGCTTAGAATATGACCGATGTTATCCACTGTGTAGGTGCTCTCTCCTGCTTTCCATGTGACCTCCCATCTGATTTAACCCGACTCTCCATTCCCTCTTAGGCCACTGTGATTTGGACACGGGGTGTGTGTGTGTCCTTCAAGGGTTCCATGTGTTAGAAACTTGACCTTCAGTACGATGGTCCTGGGAGGTGATGGGACATTGAGGAGATGGAACTGAATGGACAGTCTTAGGTCATTGGGGTGTGTTCTTGGAGAGAGTAACTCAGTTGTCAGGGGACATTTGGTTAACTTCCATGAGAGGGCTGCTATCAAAAGAACAAGCTCCTCCCAACTCTGGTTGCCATTGGAGATTAGAGCTGTGCTCAGCCCTCATCAGAGAAGCTTATTGCAGCGGGCAGAGGTGAATGCAGAAACCCACGATTGGCCAAAGTGCCAAGAATAAGTGATGCTTAGCCTGATGTTGAATGGTTGACCCTAAATGAGACAACTGTATCACTCAGTGTCTTAGTTTGCTTTCAATTTCTGTGATGAAGACACTGACCAAACACTCCCCACTTGAGGAGGAAGCGGGTTATTTGGCTTACAGAACATGAATACGA